TTATTGATTTGGTTAAGTTTGTTGCAAATGCATTGCAATATTTTAGTCGATGGTCATTTAATGTTGCAACTGTAAAATGTTGAAAGCTAAATGAAAATACAAAAGAAAAATCCGTTGCTTTTAAATCTTACCAAAAATTTAAATAATGTGATGATATTTAGTAATGTTTCATCGTAAATCGTCGTAAACATTTAGCATTCAGTGGTTAATTTAATTAAATTAATCCTAATTAAATACAAACGTTTTGAGTTAATAGAGATTTGAAATAATTGCGGTAAGCGCTGTCAATACGCTGGAAGTTAATTGTACTGACAAAATGTTAAAATTATATTTTTGATGCACCAAAATATTCCTAAATATTCACAAACACACTAGCTCTTAATAGTGGCTTCGCTCGCATTTAATATTAAAATTACCAAGACTTTATTTCACCATGTTTTGAAAGCTTTCTCTCATAGAATAAGAGTGACAAACGAGCACACAGTCCACCTGATCGTCAGTGGATGCTGTGGCCTATAAACATTTACATTTGTACTCGATTAAGAATCAACACGCAGATGTATTGTTACCCCTGAGAACTAAGATAGAATGCCTCGTATCCAGTAAAAAAAGGATCTCCGGAGCTCTACACTCACAAATTAGAGCAGTATTAGGATGCTATTTTATGTTGGTATTCTGTAAGAGCGCGGTCCAGCCCCGGTAGAGCCGACCCATTCGTACCACAACCACACTACAGCTGCAGCACGGCTCTACAACGTATAGATCTAATTTTGGATACACTAAAAGTCTTTATACAAAAAATTAGCCTATGTCCATTTTTTGCTGTCTACAATATTAAACCCAAACAGTCCCCTAGCTACTAATATTATTTTGTTAATAGAGATATTTAAAAAAAATGAACCTTGTCGTTGTGTTATTTTATTATAAGTTGTATCTTTAAATAAATTGATATCCCGTTAATTCTTCTTTTTCATGTTGTTGTATTACGAACCCTTGTAGACTTTGACGTTCATGAGAGCTATACAAGAAATTTTATCCAAAGTTTTACTTTAACTTCGTGCCATATTAGACTACGGTCTGATCTGTTACCCGAGGGATCAGAGAAAACTGCCTAGTAGTAAAACGTTTAAGTAAAGAAACCTGAACTTTAAGTGAGGTAACGTGATGGATTATTGCTTGCTTTATATGTATTTCATCTCAAAGTCTTATTCAAAGTTATAGACCATAGGCTAAACGTAAAAGTCTCTCAACGGTTCGTGGAGTAAATTGTGACCTCTTCTCCTTCCGCGCTTATAAATAAAACGTTACCGTCACATTAGGATTTACTTCTGTATCATAGAGACAATTTCCATACACAAATTGCTATCATTCAAGCCAGCATCAACTATGTGTAAGACATACAAATTCTTGCTCCGTGCGGGATTTGAGCCGCAGCTCTCAGCGCCACAACTCAATAGGACTACCTACAGCATCACGGAGTTTTTATATTTTAAGCGATATTACGTATTTTTAGTAAAATCGGTTATATTGTTATCTTTAAGTATTTTTATATTATGTTTAAAACACAATAAAATCATATTATCATCAAAATATTATGCTCATCTAATAAATATTAACCGTAATCTACATTTATATAGATCACTTATGATTAAATATTTCTGTAAGCCTCCTTATCCCATGACAATATTAGATTGTAACATCTTATTTAGTAGTCCTATTCACCGGAGAAAATTGGATATCAAATTCCCAGGGGTTAAAAATATAAATCCATAAGCAACGTTACAATCATTTAAAAATCGTAAGTAAATGTTGGCGTAATATGTTTATATACTTGATGGTTGTACAAAATGTCTACCGACAACGTTACAAACAAAAGCTTTGAATGTGTTTATATATAAGCAGTAAGCACTAAAAGCGTCGTTTGTTCTAAAGAAATTGACTCGTTTAGTAGCATTACTGTCGTTTACGCCTGTTGTTTACTAGAGTAATACTAAAATTAAAGCTTTAGTGACATTGTGAATTCTGGGACAGTTTTCTCAAGTACTCTCAAATATTTCCTTTCCGAAACACAAACTGAATTTTTATAAAGAATTTGGGCATAAATATTCATTATCATCATCATCATTACAGCCCTTCTCAAGTCCACTGCTGAACATAGGGCTTCCCCAAGGTATGCCACAAAACACGGTCCTGAGCCACCTGCATCCATCGACTTCCTGCATGTCTTACCAGGTCGTCACTCCATCTAGTGGGGGGTCGCCCTACACTTCGCCTACCGGTACGAGCTCGAAGAACCGACAACCGTTGGGGAAAAAAGATTCTCGAGTGGCAGCCTCGTACCGGTAGGCATAAAATATTGTTTAGCCGAAATTAAACTCCAGTCCCCTGGCTCCCGATATTATTTTGTTAAAACTGAAATTTAAAAAAATGAACCCTGCTATTGTATTATTTTATTATAAGTGTAATTGATACAGCGTTAAAAAAAAACACCAGAATTTCCTTCTGATTTTTCTGTAAAAAAGTCTTGTTTTCCGAACCGTTGTAGATTTTGACGTTCATAAGAGCTATACAAATCCAAAATTGAATAAAAGTTTTACTTTAACTTCGTAACCTAATAGACTACGCTCTGGTCTGTTACCCGAGGGAGTGTAAGCTGTCTAGTAGTAAAACTTTAAAGTGAAGAAACCTGCATCTTAAGTAAGGGAAAGTGATGGATTATTGCCTGCTTTATACGTATTTCATTTCAAAGCATTATTGAAAGTTATAGGCTTAACGTAAAAATCTGTCACTTGTTCGTGAAGTAAAGTGTGACCTCTTCTCCTTCCGTGTTTATAAATAAAATGTCACTCCCACATTAGGATTTACTTCTGTATCATAGAGACAATTTACATACACAAATTGCTATCATTCAAGCCAGTATCAACTACGTGTAGGACATAAAAATTCTTGCTCCGTGCGGGATTTTAAACCGCAGCTCTCAGCGCCACAACTCAATACAGCATCACGGACTTTCTATATTTAAAGTGATATTACGTATTTTTAGTAAAATCGTTCAAGGTCACCTGCACAAGATCATTTATTGTTATCATTAAGTATTTTTAAATTATATTTAAATTACAATCAAATCGTAATTTTCATGAAATATTTTGCTCATCTAATAAATACCAACCGTAATCTACATTTATATAGAGCACTGATGATTAAATATTTCTGTAAGTCTCTTTATCCCATGACAATATTAGATTGTAACATCTAATTTAGTAGCCTTATTCACTGGAGAAAATCGGATATCAATTTTCTTCTTCGAGTTAGTCCGTTATGGAAAGATTACGTTGTGTATTACATAAATTATACAAAAAATCAACTACAGTAGTTACTTAAATGTTTTAACCATTTTTGGTGAAAATATTCGTATTTTACCGACTTTAGCTCGCAGTTTCGCTTACTTGGAGGTTGGAAATAATATTTTTCTCATTTCAAGAGGGTCTCCATCCTTCTATGCGTATGCAAAGGCAGTATAATTACAGTATTGCATTTCTTGGAGATAAAATTAATATTTCAAATAATCTATGTCTTTGTCCAGCCCACAAACTAGCTGCTGCATTGAAGAGCGACAAACCAACAAACTCACTTTAATAATTATATTAGTACTAATATTTACAATTTCTTATAATAAAACTGTATAAACAAAATTAAAAAAGAAATAAGTAACATTTTTAGCAAGTGAAAGTTCTGTGTCCACTAATTAAATTTAATACTAAACTTGTGTATACAAGAGCCGTGGTAGCTTAGATGGTTAACGCACGCTGTAAATATAACAGAACGCGAGTAACTCGGGTTCGATCCCCGCCGGCACCAATGAAATTGTTAATTGCAATTTTAAGTGCTGATTTACCACGTACTCGGCGGTGAAGGAAAACATCGTGAGGAAACCTGCATGTCTGAGGATTAAGAAAAAATATTTCAACTGTATGTGAAGTTTGCCAACACGCATTGAGGCAGCGCGGTGAACAGTTCTTTGTCCTAAAACCCTCTCAGAATTGAGGGGAGGCCTGTACCCAGCAGTGGGATGTATATAGGCTGTAACTTTACTTTACTTTTGTGTATACACATGCTTATTAGAATTAAAAGCCCAGCTTCTCATAATTCGCTAGTATGGTCTTCTTCAGTAGTGCCAACTTGCACAATTGCAAAAAGAAAAAGAAACACTTTTTGCAAAAGAAAGGCTTTTGGCCAGGAGAAGACTCGTATAGCCTAATGCGTTTTAGATTTAAAAACCCATCATTAAACGCCTTCCGCAACAGCCTTTCCTGACTTGTTGCTTGATACAGGCTAGGATATATTTCTAATAAATGTGTGAAATGGCAAGTATGAATTGAAAGGTAACTCAACACGCTGGACAGGCAAATTGGTTATGGGCAACGATAACTTTGCACTAATGATTCCGCTAAGATTAGTCCGTGGATTTGAGTTCAGAATTTTCGAATTAATATACCACCATTCTAGCTCGACAAAGCTTCGCTTACTGAATTAAAATGGTTTGCACTGATTTTATTGTGTTTAATTAGCTTATTTTTAGATTTCCGACATTTCACGTATTCTGAAGCATCCATTGTCACGGTCGACTTAGGTGTTAAATGCTCCTATGTCATAATTAAACGATCTATGCATAAGGATCTTATAGTAGCTTGAAGTCTTGCAGCGAAACAATTTTAATTATTATAGATCCGAAGCAAGTAAACAGTGACCTTCTCTATTAATAATATTCTAATATTCTATTATTTTAAATTAGGATACTTTTTTATTTTAATAACCTCACGTTAATCATTGTTGGTAGAAATCGCAGTTTTTTGCGAGAAAGTCGTTGTCTATTAAATCTGATATAGTGTTGGAGGTTATCCAAAATTGTGGATGCATAGGTCCGTTTGTGCATATGACCGAACCACGAAACGGTGCCGGGCTTGGGCGTCTCCCGTTATTTGGCGCCCATAAAATGGATGATGGCTCAAAGAGAAACGCGCATAGGGCCGCTGCCTGGGGGTCGCCGGGGCGCATCTGGAGCTCGCGCTGGATGCGGCAGCATGCGGGCCGCCAGCCGAGCGCGAGGAGCTGCACGGTCACCTAGCAGCCCTCCGCATCCATCATCCCCACCAGAAGGCTTGGTGTCGGCTGGGTCTTCTCAGACTCAGCAAGCGGCAGCCGCCGCTGGTGGAGCACGTCGCATGCGTTGGTCACAAACAATGAACGCAAACGCACTGCGGGCGTACTTTAGAGCAAAAGGGGAAGTAACTGGATGTTTGGCGTATCGGGCTAGGATGCATTGTCTTTTTGCTGAGCTGGAGCCATCTTTAACCGTCACAGAGCAAAACCTGGCAAACCGGTGAATCAAATATATTTGAGCGCAAGATTAAAGTTCGGTATATCTTGCGCTCAAATATATTTGTTGTCACCGAACTCGAACGGCTACGACGTGAGGCTGTTCCCTCATTGGATGAAAATGCTACGGCTGAGGATGCGGCGCCACAAATTGTAGAGCAACCCGCAAAGCTGGATGCCGCCGTGAATACCCCAGTTGTGGTTGATTCAAACGATGATGGAACAGTCGCCCAGGAACTGGAATTAGAGCATATGAGGAGTACATTTGAAGAGGCGATTGTGGAAACGCGCAGTACGCCTCTCGAAAATCGACCTCGACTTCCCCGCATAGCCCTAAGCAAGCGGAATCGGGCTCCACCTCCCATGGTCCCACCAACCTCACTGTTATACGGGCCGAATCTCGAGAGATGCACGCGGTACTTGCTCTGGGCTCTTTCCCGCGTGCACTTTCTTGACTCTCTACAAGTTATTTAATCTGTTCCTGTCCCTTGTATGCCACTCTCTCCTTCTGGGCTGGACGAACACACCACGCCTTCGGTTCCGGGCAGAACGCTCCTTTGCCTCTCCATGGCTGTTCTTTTTGCATGCCATCCATGCGCAAACTCCCGCAGCCGGCCAAAGCTGTCCTTACCGTCCACGAGGTCCAGGTAGTAAACCGGACCCACACTTCTGCGTACTATTCCGTCCATCATCTTATATCTCAGGTCGTCATACAACGCACACTCCCATAGCACGTGATGCCTATCCTCATAGGCAGCACCGCAGTCACACATACCCGATTCAACCAGTTTCATGTCATACAGTCTCTTCCGAAAACATCCATCCCCACTGAGCATCTGCGAGACTTGATAGTCCGGCACAATCCAACTTGCGTTGAATCGCGCCGACACGTCCGGGAAGAAACAGAAAAGTTCCCTTCCATTCGTCTCTTTTTCCCATCTCTCTTGCCATACGTTCATAACATCCGCCCAAATCTCGCGCTTACGCCTGTTCAACTCCCCATTTTCTGCTTTCGCACGCGCGAGATCAATCCTACCAGCACGTGTCACCTCCAGGTTAGCCGGAAGGACGACGGCTAGTACCGGAAGTGCCGCAGTGCTGATCGTCCTGTAGCTCTTAGTCAACAAAACGAGTGAAGACCTTTGTGATCTGAGCAGTGACGTGCGCACCGTATAATTACTTACCCGATTTACCCATACTGCCGCTGCATAAGTTACTATAGATACATATGTTCCTTTGTACAAAACGCGAAGAGCCGGGTAACGAATGCCCCAGGAGGACGCCGACACCCGCGACATTTTCCCGAAGCATCTCCCGGCCCTATCTCCTATGTCCTTCGCATGCTTAATAAAAGACAGACTATTGTCTAGCGTAACGCCCAAAACTTTAGTCGACTCTACGCTTTTTATTGAGTTGCTTCCCATCCTGATTACAGGTGGTCGCAAGAACCTGCCCTTGAGGGTAATTGTACACGACTTTGTGGAGGAAAAGGAGAGACGATTCCTTTCCCCCCATGAATCAACTAGCTTCAGTACAGACTTGGCCGTATTATCTATGTTAGCCCTAGAGTTCGCCTCAATTAAGAGCGTTACATCGTCTGCATACGCTATCATCTTCGCATTGGTAGGAAATGGCAGCCTCAACAGATCATCCAGCAGTAATTCCATAGTGTCGCTCCTAAAACCGATCCTTGCGGACAGCCTATGGTCGAGCGTTTCCATTCAACGCATTCGCCGACAAAGATATCCACCCGTCTGTTGGAGAAATAATCTACCAACATCTGATAGATGTTGGGTGGGATCCCTCCCTGTTTGGCCTTCAAAAGTATCAGCGGAATCGGGCTGTCGTGAGGGCTCCGAATCCAATGCTGGTGACCTATTTGGAAGCCAGCCGGGACCTTTGCGAGATGGACTCAATTCTTTTTGGCGTCGCGCTGGCAGTCTGCCTTATCATAGGCGCCAAGGTTTCCACGGCTGGACGCGCTACTGGCTAAAGTAGCGCTATCCCAGCATGGAGAAGAAGAATTGAGGAACGTATTACAAAGGCTAGAGCTCTCATCGGCAGACTAATATGCTTCAGATCAGGCAATAACAGGCCAAGAATTGTGCGTACGGTCAGGATGGCGTTTGCTGGGACAAATGTCAGTTTGTCTCAGCCGGATATAACGCAAAAACTGACGGAGCGCATAGATGATCTGAAGCAGAGAATCGCTGCTTGGGGAAAGCGGATTAGGCAATATACCGAGAGGTCGACACGGTTCAACCAGAATCGTCTCTTCCAGAGTGATTAGAAGAGGCTCTATGAATAATTGGAGTGACCAATGGTAAGTGGAACGGGCCCAGCACCGAATGAGGCCGACACTGTAGCATTCTGGCGCGGCCTGTGGCCAGAGCCCGTAAACCATAGCGAGGGCCCTTGGACAGAAATTGTGGCGAGTCAGTGTGCGAGTATAACGCCCATGGATCCCGTCATTATAACACCGGATGACGTAGCTGAGGCGGTCCGTAGTGCCCCGAACTGGAAAAATCCGGGACTCGACGGGCTACATCACTACTGGCTGAAGGGGTTCGTGGTGTGTCACACTGTGCTCGCACGACAGTTTCAAGAGGCTCTAAACCAGAAGTCGCTCCCGAGCCTCTTCACTACTGGGATCACCCATTTGGTTCTTAATGACCAGGGTACCACAGACCCGAGCAAATACCGCCCCATCACGTGTCTACCGACCATATACAAGACACTAACATCCATTTTGAGCGCGAGAATCACTCGTCACCTAGACTCAAATCAGGTGATGTCGCGCGCTCAAAATGGATGTCGGGGCGGTGGTCGTGGAACCAAGGAACCACTCCTCATTGACGCGGTCATTGGCAAAGTGATGAAACGCAACCGTCGGAACTTCTCCACCGCCTGGATAGCCTACAGAAAGGCATTCGACTCGGTGCCACATACATGGCTAAAGAGAGTCCTTGAGCTGTACAAGATAGACTGTACCGTCAGATACTTCCTCGAGTAGTGTATGGGGCAGTGGAGTACGATCCTTTGTCATCTGGGCGAGCGGATGATGGCTGCGGAGAACCACATAAGGACAAGAAGGGGTATCTTCCAGGGCGATTGTCTGAGTCCAATCTGGTTCTGCCTCTTTCTGAACCCTCTCAGTACCTTACTGGAGGGCTCTGGGAGGGCTACGGAAAGGAGGGACAAAAGTGATCCACCTTTTCTTTATGGATGACCTCAAGTTATTCGCCTCCAGTCGCTCCCATCTTGTGGAATTGCTAAACACCACTTGTGAATTTAGCAATTCCATTGGAATGGAGCTGGGGATGGATAAGTGTGCGGTCCTCCATGTTGAAAGGGGAAGGTTTACTAACTCTGAGGGCATAGACTTATCTATGCCCGTCAACTTAAGAACCCTTTCCGAGGCTGAAACATACCGATACCTGGGTGTATCACAGAACATCGGTATCGATGAGGCTGGTATGAAACAGTCAGTTTGCAATATGTTTTATGCACGCCTGACCAAAGTGCTTACCAACCTTTTGTCCGGTGTGAATAAGGCACACGCATACAACGGCTCGGTCATACCTGTCCTCATGTATACCTTTGGCATACTCAGGTGGACTCAGACTGAACTTAACGCCCTGGATAGAAAAGTCCGCACTACCATGACGTCGGTATCGTCGGTAATGAGGCTATACTTGCCGCGAAAGCATGGTGGGCGTGGCTTCCTGAGCGCGCTCACCATGCATAATCGCGAAGTGTGCAGCCTCCGTGATTACTTCCTGGTGAGATCGGATAATCCATTCTATAAGGACGTCATCTTGCGATAAAGGACTTACCCCTCTATCCTTAGCCAACGAGCAATGGCAAGACCCGGTAGTGCAGAGCATATCCGACCGGGAGACCGTATGGAAGGAGAAGGAGCTCCACGGGAGGTTCTACAAGGCTCTACATGAGCCTTTTGTAGACACAGTAGCCTCCCTCCACTGGCTATGCTTTGGTGGCCTCTTCGGGGAAACCGAGGGTTTTGTCTGTGCAATACAAGGATCAGGTTATTAAGACCAACAACTATCGGAGATACGTCCTAAAGGATGGCACCGTCGACATCTGACGAGCTTGATGCCATCCCGGTGAGTCACTTAGGCATGTCATCTCCGGTTGTTCGGCGCTTTCTAACTCTGAGTACTTGCACAGACACAATCTAGTAGCCAGAATTCTTCACCAGGAGCTCGCTCTGAAATATGGTCTCGTGTATCGGAAATTGCCGTATTACAAGTAGTTGCCGGAAGCCGTGCTCGAAAATTATCGCGCCAGGCTCTATTGGGACCGAGCCATCATCACAGACAGAACTATTCTTGCGAATAAGCCCGATATTGTACTGATGGAGCGGGCACATTTAAGGATATTTTTGGTCGACATTACGATTCCGTATGAAGAACCTCGTGAAAGCCGAAACAGATAAGCGAACAAAATATCTGGACCTGGCTCACGAGGTGACTGTCATGTGGGGTGGTCTGCCGGCCGAAATTATTCCTGTAGTCGTCTCTGTGAATGGGCTAATCACAGTCAGCCTCTCGGCTTATCTGAGGCGACTGAAACTCCGTGACGGACCACTCCGGGCTCAAATGCAGAAGGCAGTGCTCCTCGACACCGCCCGTATCGTCCGCCGATTTCTTTCCCTTTCCTCCTAACCCTCGGCCGTCTGGTCTCCCCTGCCGAGGGCTTCCATCTGTTTGGATTTTTTTTACTTATGTATTTTTTGTACATTTATTTTATTTTATTGATATTTATGTATATTTATCTTTTCATTTTAATTTATTATTATGTATTTATAGAACCCAACCAGATGAGAAAACTATATATATATATATACCCCAAAATAATAAAACATTTGTTCATTACCACCAATAAAGTTACAGGGAGCAGTATACACAGAAATAACCAAAATTACATATGTGTAGTAATGAATGGGCTTTAGCTCAGCATAAATGTTGCAGTTGCCCACAACGCT